CCCCCCGGGATGCTCGGAGGCGGTCTTGGCGTCCCCCAGCCTTTTCCGCTTCACAAAGAAATCTAAGGAGCAAAGCCAGAGGGAGGCGTTACACACACCGCAGCCCCCCCTGCCGGGCGCCCTCTAGTCCCGGGGCGTCCTCCGCCCCCGAGGGGCCGAGCGGCTCTCTACGCCCCCTCTCTGCCTCGGGAGAGCTGTGCAGCGGGGCCGGGTTTGTTTACCTCGCCGGCCAGCAGCAGCAGCAGCGCGAAGTGCTGTGTAAGCATTTCCCCGGGAGCGCAGCCCGCAGCCTGCCCGAGGCGCTTCGGGGAAAGGGGGGGGGTTTGCCCCGAGCCACCCTCTTTACCTGTGATGTGGGTTGCGCTGCAGGACGAGACCCGTTTGAGCGGCGCGATCCCTGAGAAATTGAGCTGGTCGGATCGGTTCTCCTGGTTGAGCCGCTCTATGCCCGCCGAGGTAGCGCTCTCCAGGGCTGCCGTCCTTCCCTGGGGGCTGGGGGAGGAGGCCGCGGGCACCGCCAGCTCCTGGTGGGAGTCCCTGGGGTGAACCCCCGCAGGAGTGTCCAGGCCCCCAAGAGACGGCTTGGACCGGACCAGCAGCACCGGGAAGCGGCACCTCCCGACCTGCAGCGTCTCCCGGTAGAAAGCCGGCACCGAGTCGCCCTCCATCTCTTCCCACTGCAGCCTGCCCGGGCCGTCCAGTGGGGTGTCGGTCTGGAAGTTGTAGTCCCACCGCCTCTGGTCGTCCTCGCTGATCTCCCGGAGTTTGCTCTTCAGCTCCCGGCTCAGCTCTTCGTGATCCACCGGGCCAAAGAGGTTCCTGCAGACCCCAGTGCGGGCGTGTAAGGGGAAAGTCCTGCGGGCGGCCAGGCGCTCCAGAGCCGAGGCGCTGGAGAGGTGCACGTTGGACATGATGGTGCTGCTGCTACTGTGCCCAGGGACCCAGGTGCAGTGCGCCCAGAGAGAAAGGGGCTGTGATTTCCACCCCACCCTCGAGCCTCTCCGCCGTGCCCGCAACCAGCCTCGGCACCTCTCTGCAGTCTGCTGGGGAGCCTCCGCCTGCCTCGCTTTTTAAAGCCCTCTCCCAAGTTAGAGCAAAACATCGATTAGCATAATAGTATTTCTCTTTAATAACACGCCTGCTATTGGTGGAAACTACGTTGTACCCTAGGGTGTAGTATCTCGGCCTCCGCGCCTCATTGGCTGAAAGAGAAAATGTGGCTCGGCGCCAAAAGTGGTAAGATCCCCGCCATTGGTAAATTGCGCCTGTCAGTCTGAGTTATATAGTGGCGGGGGGAGGAGGGGTTGAGCTTTAAAGCGTAACGTGACACCCAGCCTGTCTACAGTTCCCTGCCCCCTTTGTTTGCGGGCGTTGGTAGCTGGTGCTTCGGCTACTGCTGTGTGATTGCTTTTTTGTTGTTGTTGTTGCCTTTTTAACATTTAGGAGTCAGTCAAAGAATGGAGTCTCTGCGGTTCCTGGGGGAACGTTTCGAGCCCTTGTTTAATCTGCAGTCTTTTTAAGAGGCGAGTGGGTTTAAAAGAAAAGGGTTAGAAGAAAATCTTACAGAAGGGACCCACACGTTATCGGGAAAAACTAGCACAAAGCAAAGCTAGAAGCATGCAGATTTCAAAACAAGGGGAAAGATCTTTTTTAAAAGGCTCTTTTAAAGGGTCATTGGAAGTAATAAGTTACTAGATGTGTTTCTACTCTAATGCAAAAACATGGCATATGAAAACCTCTTGCTTTTCTTGCCTGACTGAACTTCGAAATCCATATAATTCATACGTTTGTCTGCGATAGATAGCTAAACTTACTATTGTTTTGCCAGGAATCAGCTGACTTGTGCTTTACATTTTCTGCCGATCATTGGCAATCATTGTTTTTTTGTAAGATTTCCTCTCCCCATCACAACAAAGGGCTCATACCATAATGGGCTTTCTTTAATACTCCTCACCACAGAAACAAGCGAGGGAAAAGATCAACTTTACAGTGATTTTCAGGTTAAGGAGCAGTCTCCCCAGTCCTGCAGGATGCTGCTGTCTCTAGGAGGCCTGATCTTTTGACTGGCTCATCTTTTTTGGGGGGGGGAATAATGAATGATTGCTTATTACATGTGAATGTAGTGTTTGAGAAGTCTACATCTGACTGAGCAACGGAGACTTACAGTCGTGTCTTTATCCAGCAAACAGTCACAGAGCAAGAAGCAGTAAACTGTTGCCTCTCCACCCAGAAAAGAGAGTTATTCTTAATGTCAGAAGATTATTTCGTTTCCATGTGCCCCAGTCCATTTGGAAAGGTGATGATTAGTACTAAGTTGGGGCAGATTGGAAATGGTAAACTAGAGGTGAAAGGCTCTGCATCCCATTACCAGTTCCTACAGCCACAAAGTGCCCTTGAGCAGAAGGAAAACCTTTTCTTTTAAGCATTTTTTCTACTCTTTAATCCTCACTGCTGTGAAGCAACTGGCTTCAGATCAGCCATCGAAGCCACTGGCATCCAATCCTTAGCAGTGAGGACATTGGCCACCTGGAGGGTAAGCAAACAATGAAGTGACTAAGTTCACTGGTGTCACTTGGAATGTGGAGACTCAGACAGCTTTCCCCAGGTTGTGGGAGGTGTCAGACAAGGCACAGAGGCCATTCATTGTCATACTTGTGTGCTACGTCTACACTGGCCCCTTTTCCGGAAGGGGCATGTAAATTTCACTAGTCGTCGTAGGGAAATCCGCGGGGGATTTAAATATCCCCCGCGGCATTTAAATAAAAATGTCCGCCGCTTTTTTCCGGCTTTTAAAAAAGCCGGAAAAGAGCGTGAATAAGACCCTCCGGAAAAGGGCGCTTTTTCCGGAGGATCGGGGCCAGTCTAGACGCTCTTTTCCGGCTTTTTTAAAAGCCGGAAAAAAGCGGCGGACATTTTTATTTAAATGCCGCGGGGGATATTTAAATCCCCCGCGGATTTCCCTACGACGACTAGTGAAATTTACATGCCCCTTCCGGAAAAGGGGCCAGTGTAGACGTAGCCATAGTGTTACACATAGTATCTGCTTCCATAAGGAGAGACTGGAAAGGTCTTTTGACCTCCCTCAAATCCCCAGACTCCTATATAAAGAAATATTCAACCAGTATGCAAGATTAGCAACGGGCTGCATAGAAAGAGACCTCAGTACTTCTTTCTCCAACCTATGATGTGGGGAAACATCTAAGTCCAGAAAGGGTCAAAGACGTGATTCCAGATAGATTTGGCCAAGGAAATATGCAATGATCTTCCTTATGCTGAAGAGTAAGGAGAGACTAAAGGAAATGTTGACCCCTTGAATTCAAAATTTTGTGATAAGGGATTAACACCCCGCTGAGAAAAACTGCTCCTGATCGTTCTAACATAGAGAAGCTAAAACAGTTAAAGTCTTCAGACTGAAAACGCCTAATTTCCTTGTAACAACTTTCCTTATGAGTTGTTCATGCTAGTAAGTAATGCCAGGTGAAGACACAGTTGATCCTTCTGGGACAATATAGGAATCACACACAAGAACATGGTACGTATGGCTCAGTCTTGTAAAGCTCACAGGAAGCGATAGGAGAGTTCTCATAAGTCATACAAAGGTAATTTTTCAACGATGTCTAGAGATGGTATGGGCTTGTCAGGTATGCTTGACTTTGTAAATAAACTGGAGTGGAAACAGCTAGCAGTAATATTTGGGGAAAATGCTACTTCATGGGTTTTTCTCATGGAAATTGACCCCCAAGATCATATGCTATTTGGAGGATGGTCTGCAGGCCAAAGAACAGCTGTTCACTGTCTTGATACATTGGCATGAACAGTATACCTCATAAGACATACTGAAACAGAAAAACGTTTGCTATGGAAGGAAAAGAAGCAGACATCATTCACCAACCAGGTCTTTAGTGGCAATAGATGAACCCAATATTATTTCCCTTTACTTAGCAACCTTTCAGGGATGCTTTATGAAAGAGTTGAGGGGATTGAAACCCATCCAGTCTCAGCCTACAAACTTACATTATGTGGCTGTCCTTTTCATAACAACTCCATTGTCAAAAGGGGGCAGGATCCATTCTCCTCTTCCTGCCCCAGGACATGAGAAAAGACTTATTAGTAATTTATGAACCCTGCAGACAGTAGCCAGACTGGAAATTGTTTCTCAGAGATCCCTCATCAGTGTTTTCCGTTCCAATTAGTTTCTCTAAGGTAGATGCTAGTCTACAGCAAGGGAGGGGCATTTTGCTGTGCTGCTTCTATTACAGATCTTCCTCAGCAGCCTGTTTCTGCTAGGAAGAAAACAGAATCATCTGACAGAATTGCATATACTGGGACCTATGTCAAGTGTAAGGGCACCTCTCAAAAGCATACTTTTCCAAAGAAATTAGATGGTGTGATTCTGTCTACAAGACATACTGAAGTAAGCTCTCCATTTTTTTTAATCACCAGAGACAACAAACACAAGCAGTTCACTTGCTATAATTATTTCTATTATTAGTCTTGTGGTGCTTCACACAAAAAAATCATAAAATTGGTAATGGTAGCCTGAAGTTGCACAGGATAACAAAGCATATTTTTACCAACAAGGAAAATTACAAGATATGTTTGTAGGTTTTCAGTACTAGAGGCGTAGTTATAATTTACAAGGAGTCTCTTTCCAGAGCATGTATAGGAATGCGGCTGCATCTCTATCCCTTTAAATAGCTACTGAAACCTCCAGAGGTTCTCACTGTGTTCTGTATTTTAAGCATCAGACACAGCACCATGGTGTATATGAAACTAAACCTTCTGTATATTTAGTAAACATGGTATTTAGAATCCCACTGTACCTGTATGGTTTCTACATATTTCGTTGTGTGAAGAGCAAAAGACAACACAGGTGTTAACATTTCTGGGCTTGTCTGTTGATTCCTCCCAGGTACTAGTAAGACTTCTGTCTTCTGGGTTTGAAAAAGAAGGGAACAATGGGAAAGGCATTGCATATGGATTTGGTGTCAGAGAGAGAGATTACCAGACTCCTAGGCCTTTTCTCCATTTCTGTCCTATCTTCCTAGGCTGCCTGCACCATCTATGAGTTGGAAAGGGGTCTCTGGTGTGAATGGATGAATTACAGGGAGAAAAAAATCCCTCTGTGTCTACTGAGTAGAGAAGAACGTGAGCACTGCTGACAACCACATGTTCTGTCTTGGAACAAGAATGTGATATTCACGTCACTCCAAGACAGGGGGTCTTGGAGGGAAGCCACATAAAAGTGCTAGAACTCATAGCTGTAACTCCACTGTTGTTTTTTGTACCCAATGTTTACTGCATTAGAAGGAATCAACACACGCTGTGCAGACAACCATTCCTGGCATTTAAAAGATCTGGGAATTTTCTCCAAAAACTCAAATTTCAGCCAACATAGAAAACTTTCCAGGGTTATCTATATAATAGTGATTTACATGTTACTTCAGAGATGCTGGTATTTAGACTCATGAAGGGAAAGTGTATTCATGGATTGTCCAGTGTTTGGGCCTGTGGGGGCAGTCACTTTACCTCCTGTCTCACCCATCAGCTGGAACAATTGTATGGCTAGAGTCCAGATCCAGAGGCTTCAGTGGTTGATGCATATCTGCAATAAGACAATCAACTTCCCTATCCTCACTCTTCACATCCATTTGTCATGTTGTCTTCAATTGTGACTTGTGCATTAAGACATGTGGGTAATGAGAGTATCAATGACTTCACCAGGGTATTCATAGTTTTATTATAAGCTATATAAAAAGCAATAGGGAAGAGAGAAGAAACAAGAATTTCAAACAGACAATGACTTGTTTATACTACTCTATATGCTGAAATGTAAGTACAGGTTGGACCTCCCTGGTCTGGCACTCTCGAGATCTCGTCCCGAACGAGGAGATTTGCTAGACCAGGAGAGGTCCCCTGCCACCAGCTCCTAAGCCTGCCGCTAGATATGCTTCCGGTTCGGGTTGGTCACGCTGCTGCTGGCCCCGGCTAGGCTGCTACCACTGGCCCCAGCATGGCTGCCTGCCAGGCTGCCACATGATCCCAGGCCCCTGCACCAGGCAGGGC